AGTTCTTAGATTTCAGAAGTTATCCAGAAATTCGTAGAAACAAATTACATTTAAATTCTCATCAAGGTTCGACGTTAAGTCGCGCGGAGCCAGAACAGAATCGATGTTTATGGATTTCCATCCACATGTGCAGGTAGAAATCGCCACGTGAAATCGTGTAGTTGATAGTAGCAATTACAAATCGCGTGATTTGTGGTCGTAACTCGTCGCGACGGCGGCGTCGTGACGCTCCCAGGTTACCTGCAGGTGGCCGGCACGAAGTTACCTTCGCCTTCAGCACGGCACTGCTTTTTGAATGATGGAATATTACGTCGGGTTTTACATCCCTTCGCGAAATTAGTGATGTGTTCGTTCAAAACGGCAAACTCCATCAGAAACTGGCAATTTGAAATATTTCAAATTGCCAGATTCTAAATTGGATACGAAAAGTATTATGTTTGAATCGATTTTAAATTTCATAATATTCTATTGTATTGGCAAACTTATCTTTAATCTTACGGCAAACACTAACTTTTAATTGTGAAATAGATACTATATAAGTATTATAGATTTTCAAAATTTGAAAATTTTTTCGGATTAATTTGGATTAAGCCACGTAACGTGCGGTGTTAAAAAAAAAGTAGTTTCGTAATATTTCGTCAGTAATTTAAAAATACGATTAGTGACGCGACGTTTTCCACAATTCAACCGGCAGGAGTCTACACGGCGGATTTAGAAAGTCACGAATGGACTGCGACCGTCGCCGACACTCAATTTATTCGCTGCCGCCGAACTGGTTCGGCCGCTAATTGAAAAGCGGACAAATTAACACAGTAAATGGATCGCTGTAATTTATAATACCGCGTTCGCAACAATAGATAAATGAATGCAATACGAATGTCGGGGACATAAGGTACGGATTATTAACGATGACGGATAAAGAGAATTGATTGATCGGAATTTGTGATAAATTTGACGTATCTTTATCTTCTTAATGCAACGAGAAAGTTAAAACAAATTTTTTTATTTTTAAAAACTTCAAAAAAAAGATCTCGATTTAAATTACGCTCAAACTTTCATTTTATCTTAATTTAACGTTATCTATTACATCAATTAGAAATTATGTCAAGATTATCATTATATACATATACATGCTTGCAGAGTGCGAATTATTATCGCGGTGTATTACTTTACTTTCAATATCTCAGAAATATTTATAGAAGTTAAATCATATGTTAAAAGTGTTATATATTAAAAGCTATCATTATGTAATGGATCACATGTAGTAGACTGTTGTAGACGTCTACTAAAGTGCAGAATAAAGTGCAGAAATTTGAGCAATTTGAAGTTGTTGACGTATAGTATGAGAAAAGTGACTCGACTGCACAGTTCGAAGAAATCATCCCTAAGTTCTGAGAATATGATAGAGCCAATGCGAGCTATGTAACAAATACAAACGATTATTATCGAGCCCCATTTGAAGGGGAGACAGTAATTATAATGATTATATTGAAGTTGGGTGGTACGCGGCCGTCGAGGAATAAATTACAGGTTTGCTGTGTGCGGTCGACATAGCACCATAGGTTCGTTCGATAGATGCGTATCACAGTGTTTCATGCGACAGAGAGCGCCACTGCAACTGCCGGTTTCCGCAATTTCTTATCGCCGCTAATATGGCCGTCATACAAGTTTCGAAACCCGATCCTTAAAAAATTAAAAAAAAATCATGCGTTTGTATCGCGATGAAAGGTGACACTGTGTAAATTATGGACAGTATTAAGATTTTATTGAAGCAATCTTAAAGAAATTAGGTACTATTTTATCTGGATCATAAAATAATTCATTGAATAGTCGTAGCAAATTAATAATTTCAGTAAATCAGTACTCTTGTAGAAATCAATTATTCAATTTAAACCTATAAATTATGGACGTTTTTAAATACGAATTATATAAAACTTAAACAAAAACGACGACGTTTTACGAAAATTGGTTTATTAATATAATTAGTTAATTAATTTGAAAATTAATTTGACTTTACGAAACATATGTGCATTTCTTGCATAACGTTATTATAAAATTGTGATAATCATCCCAATCATATCCCACAATTATTTTAAAAGAAAAATTCATTATAGTATTATCCATGTAATAACGATTCTTGCGTATGCTACTTTCATCCATCATCAATAAATTCTTCATTAAAAAGAAGATAATAATCTTCATATCTTTATTTATTAAAAAGTTATTATTTTCGTTACAAAGTATTTCTGTGTAGCTTTTTCTACAGTGTACATAACCATATCTTATTTTTCATGATTTTTATCATTATGATATTTTAATGTGTGCACATTTCTTTTATTCTCATATTTTCCCTATTTAGATTTCAGTATAGCATATGGCATAGATGTTTTTTGACCTTCTCTTTTTCTATGTTTATTCTGGATGCTTCCGCATTCTTTCACTTTTATCTATTCTCAATTTTCCTTTTTTTTCTTTTTCGCAAAACGCTATACAATCCACTTCTTCATTCTCAATCTTTTTACTCTTATCTTCTTTCGTCCATATCCTTCTTCACACTTTCCTTGTGACACCATCTTTCTCCTCAACTCCTTTCCTTCTTTGCGAGGCGCACCGAGTACAACGATACATGCGATTTTCTCCTTCTTGTCCTCCTTCTTATTCCTCTCTTCTCACTGCAGTGAAGATTGTCGCGCGATTAGTGTAGGCTCCGATGTCATGTGTGGAAGATGCATTGCCCTCGTGCCTTGGACCGCATTATATGTAACCGTGGTATATGCATATCTACTGTGGCTTATACGGGCACCGTTTGTATACTGTAACGCTGTAAGTGTATAATCGCCGATCGCATTTGCTTGCACTTTGCGTTAAGCCACGGCACCTTGCATGTCACCAAGCATCAATGATGTGACGTATCCCATGTAAATGATATCCCGTGTAAACGAAGTGATATGTTGTAGCGACACGTGACATATGATTTCGAGCGATAAACGTCACAATTGTCATTACCGTAGTTGTCCATGCCAAGTATCACGTTTGATCTATTAAAATAATTGTTCTCATACTCATAGTACTTTCAAATTGCAAGGTTTGCTGCATCAAGATATAATAATTTTTAATAATTACGGTATATTCTTAGAATGAAATATACCCATTGATTATTTTATCGTAGATGTTGCAACGCGTAACGGAATAACTTAGAAAATAAAATGTGCATGTTACCGAAGAAGATATTTATATGGTAAAACGATGACATATATTATATAACAATAAAACTATCGGCTCTAAAATTTGCAATTTTGAACATTTTAAATTTTACTTTTTAAAGAGCATATTTAATTCAGAAAACTCAAAACATTTCGACAGCTGCGTCCAGAACCAAGCCTGTCTCTTCCTCCAGTCGGTCCATTCAGTTCAAATTTCCCTGGCATGCCGAATCAATTCGATTAACAGATGAGACAGAACATTTACAAATTCTGTCCCATAAAAAGTGAGTTAAAAAATTATTATACACTGTTGAGTTCTTAATATAATTTCTATATGTTATTTAATCAAATTTACCATCTGTATGTCAATTGTTTAAAAAATTGCATAATGTATATTTTATATTTCTTATTTTCTCTTTTTGATTGTAGAATGTAAAATTCCAAATAAAAGTATCAATATAGAACTGCAGGATAATGCACTAGTTTCGTGGACCCGACCATCTGATGATTCACTGTTGCTCGTTACTCATGCAGCTTTTTACTTTAATCATATTAATGAAGCATTTAATCTTGCCGCGTGTTTTACATGCCGCCGGGTGTGTGGGCCTATCCTGATTCTGTTGTTGACGAGGATTTCTCAGCACTGCTTTTGTGGGTATCTTTCTAAACCTTCAGTTGTATTCACTGTGTCTCTTTCTTATTCTCTTTTTTTTTTCATCTTTTCTGGTCCATTATTAACTGATTGTTTTATTTTCCATCCTCCAGCAGTGTTCGCTAATAGGTCTCCTTTAGACCTCTTTTAGACCTTCATTTACACCTTTACTGCGACTTGTACGCGCAGATCATTAACTGCTCGGATGTCATTACAATGATATATTGTAATATAATGTAATACAAGTACTTATGTGCGTGAAATTATTAGCTATATGGAAAATAAGCGAATTTTTATGACTGATTCTTTCATACCTATCATGTCATTACTGTGTTCTCGGTGCTTGCATTCTCCGATAAAATTAAGATTTTTAGAATAAAAATATATTTTTGACGTTCAACTTCATTAAAATGATCGACTAATTATAAATAAATATAGTAAGTAATAAGTAATCATTTTTTAACTTTCATATTTTTTGCGTCTTTTAATACATTATTTATTTGACATCTCGAACCATATTTTGGTAAATTTATTTCGAGATAAGTTTAATTTTTGTATAAATATATAATTTTAGTTTTAGTCTTAATATTATAACCTTAAGATTAAAAAGATTTGAATCTTTTTAAAATGTTTATTGTTATACACGAGTTCGGTTTATGAAACTCATAAAGAGAATACTCTCATTTCGCATAAATAAAAAAAAACTGATAAAAAAATTTAATATAAAACTCAATGTAAAAAACACTTCAAAACGCGCGAAATATACAATGTGAAATATGAAAATTGATAGATAAATAATAAGAATCGTTCATCACATGCCGACAAACTACACTGAACCCGCTCAGTTTTCGAGATATGTATCTCCTGATTTATCATCTGACAGTTCTAGAAATGATCTTGCGTATCGATTGCCCCATATCGATCGGGCATTGCAAAATTATAACAGAATATAAGAAAATGTAGAGACCTAACATTGTATTTACTGTATGCGCATATGCACAATAGAATTTAAATAATATAAATAAATGTTCCCCGAAAAAGCAGAAAGTAATATAATAAAACGTACAATTATATTAATTCTACTCTTATTATTTCATTCGCAAACCATAAAAATTTAACAAAGTTATGATGAATAAGTTGCTTACATTATACCAAGCAAGCTGCAAGGGCATGCTCCACAAGGCTCGAGGCGTTGCAACGTCACTTACCTGAAACAATAAATTACATGCTGTTAGATATGGATTGAACGCATGCATATACATGTATAGGTATATGTATATTCTGTTAATGTTACTACATTGCTTAATTTTGTATGTTTCTATATATCTTATATATCCATGTTATGTACAAACATGATTATTCATAGCCCGTTATTTTATAACAACTAGATATAAATGCAAATTTTTTTTCCATTAAATTATACAAAAAAATATAAATATAAAACCATATCGAGACCATAAAAGTTTAAACTAAAAGAAATTTTAAAAAACGTCAATACGGTCTAAAGCTGATCTGCTGCTTTAATAATATTTTTATCTAAACCTTACAATTTCCAGTTAAGATAAACTGCGCGCCGAATATTTTTCGGTCTTTAAACACAAATCTAAACTGAATCCGGATAGACTAACTAATATCACAATTAGACTGATAAGCAATTTAATAATTTTTTATGCCAATGAGCATTTTACTAAATTCTGAAATTGTAAGATTCACATAAAAATATTATTATTAAGCACCAAGATCCGCTTCAGACTACACTGGCATTTCTAAAAATTCTTTAGTTTAAAAAAAATATATGTTTTACATAAATGTTTTGTACATATTAATATCATTGTACAATTCATGTATAAAATTCATTTATTTAAATTTGGCAGCTGCTTCGATAAAATGACATTATATAGGTACATATATTTTCTACGTATTACTTATTGACCGTAATTTTTAATTATAATTATTACTTAATAATTGTAATTAAATATTACAGTTAGTAAATAAAAAGTAGAAAATACTATATAAAATTTTAATTTAATATAGATAATGAAAAAATCGTCAAAATCATTTACCCGCTGAATCGAAATATGTTAATCCAAATATGCACGCGATAAGATCACGGCATAATAATGACAACGGTATCTGAAGCACGATCCAACATGTTTACATTTTTATTGGCTGATACTCAGCATCCGCGCGCACATTTATTGGTTTCAACCGACACGTGGTGTCATCCACCGAACACTTCGCTACCCCCAAATGCCCACAGGATAACGCGCACAGTTAGACACCATTCAAATCTGTCTGAATATTTCTCAAATTTCAATTCACGTTCACTAATTCAAAATTTTTGGCCCGCAGTTTCATTTTGATCGATAATTGTGAGTAATGACACGAATTTGTGACGTAACGTAATCGGCGTGACCCGCAGAATAATTTCAGGCGGAAGATGTGTACAAAAGAGGCAGAGGGAGTGAAAAAGAAAAAAAGGAGCGGCACGAGACAGAGTGGAGACACCACATAAACCTTTCGGGCCGCAAGCCACCACATAAATATAATAGAGAAGGTAAGGCCTCGTGATGGTCGGCCGGCATTGCCCGCCGAACCGTCACGGACTCAGCACGTCGTACAAGAAGGGGGGGATTTTCGCGGGGTGGGGTGAGATGGGTGGACGTGTCAGAGACAAAGTGGTGGCCGCGCGGGGTCGAAGGGGGCATCGGTGGCCGACTCCTCTCTCTACGCCGCGCAATACACGGCGGCATGAAACACGGGGAAACGGCACGAATGATCGATGGGATTCTGCGCCGTTGCGGGCATGGCATAGGTACATACCCCCACCGTTCTCACCACTCACACACAAGAAAAGCAGTGGGGAACCTCGAACCCCTTCTTGGACATTGACGGGTGTACCACGCCGCCTGGTGGGCACGATGCACGTGGTTCCCGTGAGAAGTTTTAAGCATATTCTCATAGATGGCGCACTGTACGTTTGGCGCCAGCAGCGCCATCCTACAGCGAATTGGTGAACATTGTTTATAAAAAAAATCAATTTGATTGGAAAGATAATAAGTCGGTAAAAAAGAAAAATATTACATATCTATGGCATAAATTGTATGATACAATAGAATGAAATAATAAGAATATTAATGAAATAATTAATATAATTAATACATGCATAATAAATGGAGTACTTAAAAAAATTAATAAACAAATAAAAATATGTATACATATATACATATACGTATTTATTATTGCTATACTCTCCTACTTGTTAAAAAAAAAACAATTTTATTATCTTAGAATTTTTACCTTAGAAAATTAAATAATAACTTTTACATACAATTTTTAAAAATTTGGGACATTTCGAATTGAAAACCAATAAAAAAATATTGAAAACATTATTCCACTTAGAAAAAATATTTTGATATTTTTGAAAGGGATAAAAAGTGTTTCTATTTATATAAATTGGCTAACAATATATTATTGCTTTGTAAAAAGCTTGGCTATATATTTCATAAATTTTTTGTAAAATTTAAGTAACTCATACTGATTTATAAATATTAATATGTTTGCGCAGTGCATTTGTTATTTGTTGATGCATGTCACAGCACATCTTAATTGTCGCATTGTCAAATCATTCACGATCGGCCACTGTGCATGCGTGGAGTAATGCAACTACCTCCCGGTTAGAGCTGATCGGCTTAGGTGATTTGTTGAAACCTCAAGGTGAAACTTAGTTACGCGACACCTCATGCGCACGTGCCTATAAACTGAGAACGCGTGAAGCATTTGTGAAATGCAGCCATCAGACCACCCATACCCTGGAGCCCCTTCTACACGCCCATTGACGTGAGTATTGTTTTCATGATCACGCGCACAGATAAAAATTATTGAATGAAAGAAAATGGCTCGTTCAACAAGAAAAAGCATACGATGATATTTATACAACAAATAAGCATCTAATTTAATTTTATTCGTTAGAAATTAATAATGTGCTGTGATGGAAGAAATATAGCTCTACAGAAAAGTTAGTCTCTCAAGCTATATAGTAGCCAATTTTGTACGCTTCAAAATATTGTAAAAAAAATTAATATTGAAAGTAATGTGATTAATATCGTTATTTATGTGTTGAATAGTCGACAATATTCTTCAACAGAAAAAATAAAAAAAATCAGATGTCGTGGTGTTTTAGGGAACATAAGTATCATATAATTAGTCGCATTCAGTTTCACAGCGGGTATCGCGCCTCCAAGGGTATTGTACTTTATATCACGAAAGTAGCGCGAAGCACGGTAAAGCAATTGATCAATATAGCGCCAACAATCCCTTGTAGCTACCCCTCTGCAGCTTCCAAGCTCCGTCTACCCCTTCCTCCGCCTTCTTTCGTCCAAGTCCCAACGGCGCGGAGAGAACGCACCCCCATAACAAGTTTCTTACTCATCTTTTTCGTTCAATAACTCTCCATCCAAGATGGCCACCGCGGTCGTCCCTCATTGGCTGGGGGAAGGGTCGCAGGGGTCTGTACGGGGTTTGGGTGGTTGACCCGTAGTGGTGCGGTGCGGGGCGCAGGAGGGGGTTGGAAGCAGTGACGCTATCTATCTTCCGTTGCCTTGGCTCGGCGTAACATAAGGCAAGATAAATTGCGGGATCTCCCGGGTTCTTGAACCTTTCTGGCAAATTGCATAAGAATATCCACCCTCCACCCCACAGGATGCCTCTTCTCTGCTCCTCCCCCCCTGACTGCCCCCGCGGCTCCAATGGAATTGGAATTAACTCGAATAAATCACCTCCGCGCGGCTCTGTACGGATACGCAAAAGCTTCGGCCGTGTTTCCGCTCCACGAAGTTAAAATTTCTTTTAGTACAATACAATATTATTATTTAAATATTATAACATTTTTTTCCTTTTTTATACAATTGCAATAATATTTTGCTATTTTATTTTGATGAAAATTTTGTGATAATTATAAGCAATCGATAATTATTTTATTAATTAAGAAAGCATTATAATCCGTTTTAAAGAATACATTTTATTATTTTGATTAATTTTATCACCAATTTTTGTATAAAATTTTCTAATTAATATACTAAAATTTTTAATTGTATTCTTGATGTAATCCAAGAATCATTACATAATAAATATAAAAATACAATGAAGGCATCGTATAAATTCAAGATCAAAATACTAACTGTAAGAATTAGGAAGTTTACAAAACATTATGCCGACATTGGTATTTGTGAAAAATAAATGAAACAGGAAACATAAGTATAATGTACATATATGTATGTACGTATATATTCAAATCAGAAATTAATTATTTTGAGATCAAGTACTTGTATATCGTCACTCTTCTTGTATCTTAGAGCTATGTTTAATTAATTGATAGTTGATACATGTAGGTGATATGTAAAAAATTAAACATAAAATTAAAAAATTAATAATAAATCATTTATTTTTGATTATTAAATTTTTAAGTAATAAGGTGAATAAATATCTAAATTTGTTCGATCCAAAAATATGTCTTTAAATGTGAAGACATATATGACGCTAACTGTACGTATGCGCGCGCATATCATGGCCGATTGATCAGAAGAACATATTTGTTGCGTAAAATTGATGGAAGTAATTTAATTTATTCAGTATAATATATATTTAGATTTATCTCTAAAGTTCTATTTTTTAAATATCTCACGTAAAAGCTCTATTTTGTTAGTAAATAATACGTGACACGTAAAAGGTACTATATAATTCGTAAATTGCTTGGTGTACAAAGTTAGTTAAAACACTGATAAGAAACGTCAAGCACAAGCCGGCGCATAAACCAAATCCGCCTCTTCAGTCAATATCCTAATACGGTTATCATGACTATTATCTACTTCATTTGTCACAATTACGGGGCTCGTAACCCTTTTGCGCGCATGCTTGTTGCGATATCTCGATCGCATGCCATCAGCATGACAGTTCCCCTCTTACTCAGGCAGAGAACCGAAGAGGGGAAGTGGCTGGTTATCACTGCCTGCCGGCTGGCTGACTCTCTGTATCGCTTTCCGTATATATTGCGGCAGGTCAGTAAATCCGAAAACGAGCTTTACGATTTGTTTACTCCGTACTGGGTTATGGGACCCGGTTATATAGCCGTAGGTATGCGCGGGCTATGTGATCGCGGCCATAAACGCGTCTGTTATGCGCTCGTAAACCGTGAGAGCCCCACTCAACG